CCCCAAAACCCCAAAACCCCAAAACCCCATACACCAGTATTATAAAATAATTTGAAATTTAATAAAGCAGCTAGGAATAAATTTATCAATCATTATTCAAAATAATGGGAGTCTATTGTTCCAAGAAAGAAGTAGTCGAGGCTTAGTCTTCGAGTTTTATCTATCAAAGAAACAGGACGACCAGCCTAGAAGAGCAGATAAAGGCAAGATGCCCTAATTCCTCAGCTAATTTTGAAGATGAAAATTCGCATTCCACAAAGCATTCTTCAGAAGGTAAGATGAAATGCACCAAGGTCTGCTTTATATGTCATGAGCGAGTGAGGCTGGATCATAGTTGCACTAACTAGATGGTCAAGGATCTTGAGAAGCACATGGACAAGGATTAATTAATGGACATTTTGATGAAGATCAAGCAGTAGGTGTCAAAGGATGAGCAGTCTCTGGTGCCTTATCTGCACTGGGGCACAAACGTGGCACTTATCTTTAACCCATTTACTCAGGGTCTGCAGCGCACAGAACTTGCCAGAAATATTCCCGAATTCAGCAGAACAATTCTAGCAAGAGAGAACAGGATTTTCTGCATAGGAGGATAAGACAGTAGCACTATGAAGTCTCTGCCAACCATATTTGAGGTGGATATTGAAGAGCATTATAGAATTAAGGACAAGATGAACATGAATCAAGCGAGGTTTCATCATACTGCGGTCTATGATTAAAAATACGACTTTATTTTTGTAATTGGAGGTATGACTAGCAATTCAATGGGCAATTAGTTCAAAATGCTATCTAGTTGTGAATTTTATAGAGTGTAGCAGAATGAATGGAGTATAATGCCTAACTTAAAAGTTGCGAGAGATACATGCGCTGCTTGCTTATTTGATTCTTAATGGGTATATGTATTTGGTGGCAGGGTCTAGTTTGAGAAAAGACAACTGACCAACGTCATCGAGAGAGCCTTCTTTTCAAGAATAGACGTATCTTAATGGGAAGAGATTACTCTTCAAGGAAGGCAAAGAATTATGCCTGAATTCAATGTTGGAATGTGCCATTAAGTAAATGATACAGAGTTGGTAATATTTGGAGGAAAGGATACTTACAACAAATAAACAAGAGAAGTGCTCTACTTTGATACAAGCTCATTTTCTTTGATTCATAGAAAATCCTAGGCATAGTCAAGAAAATCTTCAAACGTTGATGAATAGCTATCACAAGCAAAGACTTTATAGAAAAATTATTCCACAGCTTAAATTACAGTAAAGGATTTCAGGATGCCTCTGGAGATAGAGGCTCCAACATCTCCTTTCCAAATAGCAAATAATTTATTTGTCCTAGGTTGGAGTAAGGAAACAAACGGCATTCATTTGCTTAGACTCTCTCTCATCAATTTGAATTGGAAGGAGGAACTTGACTTTACTAGTTACCTTGCCTCTGATGTTGATTGATGAATATTTATAAGTAAAGGATTGAGAAAAAATCGATCTAAGTTTTGTAGGTATAAATATATTAGCACACTCACACAATAATAATCTATTGATAAAATTAAGAACATAGTCAATATTAAAAGTTTATTGCTAGTTATTTATTTGATATTATATGAATATAAAGAATTAAAATGTCACTATAAATAGGAGATATGAATCTTTTTGGGGTTTTGGGGTTTTGGGGTTTTGGGGTTTTGGGGTTTTGGGG